CCTGATAAATAGCTTTTCTTAATATATTTTAATATATTTAATTTAAAGCGGGAGCCAGCATGTTCGATCCAGTCTGATATAGTATCTAGGACAAATGCAGTGTATTAACGACATTTTTAAACGCCAGTAGTTCATGTGTGATTGCAAAAGCTTTCATTTCCCAAACCGTCTTAGTCCGTGGAGACGTCGCTCCTCGTCCGTAGAAACGACTGGATTAGGAGGAACCCAATTTGTGATTTTCCTTTTAAAAAAGAGGAAGGCGTCAAATCCCACAGCAAGGGAGCAGCAGATACTAGAATATTTGGAATTAGCGTTATTTTCAAGATAGGCAGAACTATTTGAAAGGCTGGACCAGATATAAGCCCTTTTTTAGCTCTGACGGCCCAGCTCCCGCCGGGTTCAGGATCAGGCCCTCGAAGGGATTGAGCCGTGTATGCTCCAGCAACACCATTTCAGTTTAGGCCGAAGCGGGGGAGCCGGTAGAGACTCTTCTGAAAGGCCTTTTATACAGGCCCCCGGGCTCGTTCCCGTATGGCCGAGGGGAGGGCAGGGCAGGCGGGACCGGAGCCCCCTCAGCCGGGGCGGTGAGGGCTGCCCCGGGCCCGAGTTTCGAATCAGCGCTGGAGTCCGGGGTTGGCGGCGGCCCCGACGCCGGGGAGCAGAGTGGCTGGGCCGAGCCTCTCCCGGCCTCGGAGGTGGAAACTCTCTCTGCCCTGTGCCCGGGAGCGTGTTCATGGGAAAATCGTAGGGCTACGGATCAGGGAGAGGGCTATAAATAGTTCCCCGGTTGAAAATGTCCCGAAAACTACTGAGGAGGGAAACCCAGGCCCCACCGCCGGCCGGGACTCCACCACCTGCAGCGGGCCCGGCAGCTGCGGGCTGGCATGGGTGGGGAGCGCTTTCCTGTGGATTTAAACCATTTCCATTTGTGACCCCCAAAGTCATCCGCTAATTAGTAACTGCCGGTTGAGGGGTAAAACGTGACCCTGTATCGCAAAGACGGCGGAGCCTGGGGTCCCGATCCCTGCCTCAGGGGTCTCGCACTTCGTGGGCCCCGGAGGGGCTCCCCTCCGCCGAGGAAGGAGGGGAAGGGCCGGAGGTTCCTTGCAGGGGGGGACCCCCGAAGGACCGAGGCACCCTGCAGACCTGGGGATCCCCGGGGGCCGGGCCTCGGGCTGCCCGGCGCTGACGGCCCCCGGTGCTGAAGGCGGCGCCGGCCACCGTGTTCAAGTTCCCGCTGGCTCCTTTGGGCTGCTCGGGGCTGGGCTCAGCTCTGCTGGCCGCCGGATCAGGGCTGCAGGGCGGCTCGGCCTCGCCCCATCTCCCGCTGGAGCTGCACCTCCGCGGCAAGCTAGAGCCGGGACCCCCGGAGCCGGGCGGCAAAGCCAAAAAGGGTCGTCGGAGCCGCACCGTCTTCACCGAGCTGCAGCTCATGGGGCTGGAGAAGCGCTTCGAGAAGCAGAAATACTTGTCCACGCCCGACAGGTAGGCGATGGCAGACCCTCCGGACCGGGGACGGGATGGGACGGGGCAGGACGGGGGGGGAGGTGGACTCGTGATTTCTACAAAAGGAGGCAAGCTGCCAGCCGGGATGAAAGCGGCCGGGCCCCACCGTCTCTCTCTCTCGCCCACAGAATAGACCTGGCCGAATCGCTGGGGCTCAGTCAGCTCCAGGTGAAAACCTGGTACCAGAACAGGCGCATGAAATGGAAGAAAATAGTAAGTGGGCCTTTTGCGCGCTGCACCGAGCCCGGTCCGCTCCCCGCGGGGTATCGAGCACTGCCCGCAAGCTCGTCCTGCTGCATGCTGGCCAAAAAGTAATATTAATACTAACAAATTAAAAAACATGTGCCCCCGGTCTTTAAGGCCAGCTCCCTCCAGACCCCCCACTCCCAACCCAGCCCCGCGGGTACGGAGGACGATGGGCGCAGCAGGAGGAGGCGCCGCTGCGGCGGCC